ACTGTAAGAAATTAATGTTTGTTTGTTTAATTTTGCTTCTTACTTTGGGTTTAATTTGTTCTTTTTTTCTTCTTTTTTGAATAATAGAACCACATTTATTTAAGAATGTGTTCCAATATCAAGTGGCAAAAGTTCAACAATGCAAAGCCGAAATTACTTTTGCACCATCATAATGCATATGGTTCAGTGCTACTTTCTCAATCCTTCTCACCGTCTCCTTCCCTGCCTATCCCCCCTGCCCCGCCATAATGCTTGTTTTTTAGACCATCTGGTCTGTGGGAGTATGTCAGGGCAGCCTGAACAGACTAAGACACCAGGGCTGACTCTCTTGTCCTGCACTCACTGAGCACTCATGTGCAAGTGAAGCACTTCCTGAGGCTGTTGATGGCAATAACTGACTTCTGCTGTGAAGAAAGGATTAAATTAAGGCATGAGAGGAGCCCATGTTTCACCAGGAGCTCTTGCTGGTACAGTTCTGCAGTCTGCATTGCTGTAATGCTCCCTCTTTCCACCAAACTAGATCCCCAGATGTTCCCCTTTCTGTTGTATCATTGCCGCGATGGGAATTCAGATTTCTCAGTGGAGCCATGACGGACAAGGGTAAGAAGACATAGGTCCTGATGACCACCCTTTATCATCACAGCGCTGTCTCACCACAGTCATGGATAAGGGTGAATCTCCTCTAACTCTTGAACTCCATCACAGGGGACATCTTCCCTAAAGTGCTAAACGGAGGACTTTCTGACCACATGACCATCTAATCTCAATTCTCTTGTTCATGAACTTAAAGCCTGGTAGTCTGTACTGTCTAAAACATGAACCCAGAACAGAATGGAAACATAATAGGGAACCACCAGTCTAGGTAATAAAATGCGTTGAAGACATAGAAAGACTTTGAGGAATTTGGGAATAATGGACTGATGTTGGTTCCTTGGAAAATGATGGAATCCCATGGACATAGAACCCAGTGATGGTGTGGGAGTATCAGAGGAAAGCTCCCAAGAGGATGCTGGCGGGGAGGGGGATGGATAGTTAGGTAGATTGGGTAGAAAGCTCAATTGAAAACAAAATTTGGGTAATGACTGGATTAACCTTCTGAAAGGGGATGCTGAGATGTTGCATAAACACAGGTACAGTATTTGCCTTTTATTTTTAATACTTGGATAAACCAAGAGCTTGAGAGAAGCCCATGAGAAGTTTTATAAGATTACTATTTTATAGGGACTTCCCTGGCAGTCCAGTGGTTAATTAAGACTTTGCTTTCCAATCCAGGGGGTGCGGGTTCAATCCCTGGTTGGGCTACTAAGATCCCACATGCCTCATGGCCAAAAAAATCAAAACATGAAACAGAACAATATTGTAACAAATTCAGTGAAGACTTTGAAAATGGTCCACATTGGAAAAACCTTTTTAAAAAAGAGTAATAATTTATGTAATAAGATTTTAATTTTTTAATATTGAACTAAGAACAAGCATTTGTTCTACAACCAGATATTATCCATCCGGTGTTCAGAGATGGCGCTTACTGCAGTGGATGATTTTAGCATCCAGTTGTCAGATGTATAAGCTTTGTGTAATGAGAAGGTTTTGAAGCCTAAGAGTGGTTCAAACAGAACTCCTCTTGTCTTAGTTAGCTTAGGGCTGCCATAACAAAATACCATAGGCTATCCCAGTGATTTAAACAACAGTTGTTTAATTTGATTTAAATAGTTGTCACAGTTGTGGAGCCTGGGAAGTCCAAGATCAAAGTGTAGGCAGGACTTCCTTGGTGGCCCAGTGGTTAAGAATTTGACTGCCAATGCAGGGGACACTAGTTTTACATGGTCTGGGAAGATTCCACATGCTACGGAGCGGCTAAGCTCGCACGCCACAGCTACTGAGCCCATGCTCTAGAGCCCACAAACTGCAACTGCTGAGCCTGCGTGTCCTTAAAGTCCATGCTCTGCAATGCAAGGAGAAGCCCACACACCGCAACTAGAGAAAGACCTCATGCAGCAACAAAGACCCAGGGCAGCCAAAAAAAAACCACAGGCAGATTTGGTTGTTGGTGAGAGCTCTGTTACTGGCTTCAGAGGGCCCTGTCTCCTTGTCCCCACTTGGCAGAGATCTCTGTCTTTCTCTTTCTGTATCTCTCTCCTCTTGTCCTATGTGGTCACCAATCCCATCATGAGAGCCCCATCCTCATGACCTGATTAGCTCCCTAGAGCCCCACCGTCCAAATACCATCACACTAGGGGTTAGAGCTTCATATATACATTTTGGAAGGGACACGATTCAGTCCACAGCCCATCCTGTGCCAGGTGACTTCTGCAGGGCACTGGAGAACACATTCTGTCCCCAAAGAGGGAGCAGCCCCAGCAGGACATCTACCAGAAGGCCAGGTTAGCTCTGGTTTACTCTGAACCATAAATCTCCCCATCACTTTGGGATTTAAAAGGAGCATCCCTGGAGGTCTCCAATCAGGGCAATTGGAAGAAACTTCCTACCTAAGCTCAGGCAGAGCCCCTTTGAAGAACTGCAGGCTTATCCATCACATTCCTAAGTCCACTCTCCAAGGGAGAGGCAGCTGGGGACGGTAGTCCTTTATTGGCTGTTGTTGATTAGTTGTTGTGTCCAACTCTTTTGCGACCCCCTGGGCTGTCCATGGAATTTCCCAGGCAAGAGGTTGCCATTTCCTTCTCCAGGGGATCTTCCCCATCCAGGCATCGAACTTGAGTCTTCTGCTTGGCAGGCAAATTCTTTACCACTGAGCACCTGGGAAACCCATGCAGAGGCCCACATGATTTTCCAGACAAGAACCTGGGAAGGTGACAGTGGCCAGGCTACAGAGCCAAGAGATAAAGTCCAACACTCTGCTTCATCAGATCAGTTCCAGTACACCCCCTAAATCTTCATCCCCCACAGGCAATCTGGTACTCATGAACTTCAGGTTCAAAGGTAATTACGATGATCAAAATCCTCCCCAGGTTTCCACATGGAATAACTAAGGAAGCAAGGCAACCTTTCCATGAGATTAGGAAATCATGTGCCACCTCCCTTTCCAGAATGGTCATCCCATTCAACTTCCAAGCCAGAAGAAAAAAAAAAGAAAGAAACTCTCGAGCTGGGTAGCCCGTCAGGTTAGAAACCCTCCTCTGTTTTGAATGGGAATTTGTCTCGTTACAAAATCCACCCATTCACTTAGTTCTACCCTCTGAGACCACACAGAACTATGCCCACCCTTTCCCACCTGGCAGCCTGTCAGACACAAGAAGGGAATCTTCCTTCCCCAGCAACCCTTCTCTGCCCAAGAGATGATGCCCTTCCAGGCCTCCCAGGCCTTCCAGGGAACTGCCCCAGGGTCCCCACCAGCTTGGCTCTCACCTCCAGACCCTCTTTCATTACCTAAAAATTCTCATTCAACCGAGTAGTTGTAACACCATAGCCCAGCTTTCCTGTTGCGCTGAAACACTTTCCAAAAATTCTGGAAATTTGTTATGGTCATGGCTGCCAAGCCCACAAAACCCAGATCCCAATCTCTAACTGAGAAGCCCAAAAACATGTGCAAAAAGAAAAAAAAGCCTTTTGGCTGGACATCATCTCTTGGTCCCTGGGATGAATCATAAGTTTCTTTCATTGTTGCTCTTGGCTGCTCCCCCCAGGTCAAAGTTGATGGTTGATGAGACAGATACCACCCCTAGTGATACCCTCTGCTCTGAGTGTGGAAATCCGAGGGCAAGGGCAGCACTGAATACCCCAGCACAGGGTCCAAGTGATTAGACTCCTTGACAGAAGGTGACACAAGACCAGGGATCACTCCTGAAGGGTCATCTGCAAGGGTGACCCCTTGCAGATAACTCTTCCTGCCCCAGAGTTAAGGGCACGAATTAAGAGTTACGCCAAGGACTCCACTCAGCACTCCAAGTCAGCTCTGGGTTGTCAGAAGACTTTCCTTGACTAACCCCCCACACACTCCCCGCCAGGATCTCCACGCAACACCCTCACTTCCTCTGTCTGCAACTCCACTGGGTCACCATAGCACTTGTGTGTCAACTTCACAGGCACCATCATAGTCCCTGTTGCATTCTTCCATGAGACAGGACTCTGCCTCTGTGCTCCTGCCTTGTCCCCTAGACTGGGAACTCCTGGAGGGGAGCCCCTGGGTCTTATTTATCAGTGTCTCCGATCCTAGCATGGAATCTGACACAAAGTAGGCACTCACGTAAGATGAATGATGCTGAAATGAGCTGATGCCTTGGCCTCAATTTGTCAAGCCTTACATATCTCATAGAGATAGGTGGGAATTGAGCATCCCTCCCTCTGGGTGGGAGTCAGGAGAGACCACCATCTCCATCACAGTGGGATGACCTGTGTGTGAGCTGGGCTGCTCAAAGCATGGGATCCTCCACCTGATCCCTTCCTGAGTCCATGAGCTCTGCTTCTTCCTGCTTAGAGAACGTGGTCCAAAATCCAGACCATCACCAGCCTATTCCATAAGCAGAAACTGGGGAGAAGAGCCCGGCTGACCTGGGGCAAATTCATCCCACACCCAGGAATCACAGAGGGGCAGCAGATTGACCACAACCCTGATTAACTTCAGCAATGAAGTGTCTCGTAACTATTTCCATCATATCCCAGGACAGGGGAACCAGCCTGCTCAGTACAAACCACAGCACAAAGCTCCAGGGAGGTCCAGTGTAATGCACAGTGTCAACACAATGAGTCAGGACAAGGCAGAAGCCTCTTAGAGTGGCTAGGTCTCTGCTCGAGGACTTCGAGTTTTCCCACCCTCACACAGCCCCTGCCAACTCATCCTACATGACATGAACAATGCTGGTCAGGATCATGCCTGGTGGGAAAGACCAGCCAGCTTCCTCCTTTGTTGTTTCCATGGTAACAAGGGCGGTGTTTGGGCTCCTGACTGTGGGAATGAAGAGCAGAGGCTCCCGCTCCCCATTTCCCATCTGCTCTCACCTCCTGCTCACTTCCTTAAAGGTCAGGGTAGCAAAGGATGCTCTTACCTGCTAAGATGAAGATGCCCACGAGAACCAGGAAGACCAGCAGGTAGAGCCCGAGGACTGCATGCTTCAGGGCTGACAGGGAGCCCAGCTGGGTACAGCAGCCACCTGCTCGCCCTTTGTGGCATGGACCTAACAATAAGGGTAGGAAGAAGAGGGGAAAGGACATTTGAAAATTCCCAAAGCCATTTTTGCTCTTTTGATCTCATCTCTCCCTGATGCATGTGGATGTTCATGTGGCAGCCTCCCCCACCCCTCCCCCACCACCACCACGCACACCTTCTGCACATCGGTAATGCAGGTGGAATGGTAGGGAGCATCTCAGAACTTGATAAGCTTTTCAGCTTCCCTCTCTCCTCCCAACTTCTGTGCTCATGAACGAGCCAGAAGGCATGCCAACAGCTCACATGGCCACACAAACCCACCCTCCTGGAGCCAGTGCCAGAAGCAGAGAGAGATAGGATAGGCTGCCTTTTACAAAATGCTATTGTCCCACATGATTAGGAGGAGATGGAGAGAATTTTAAAATGAGGTTGCAAACTCCAGCTTCTAACAGTGGCAGGGAAGGGAGGTGGGCCAGGTGGGCCTGGGGAACCCACCAGCGCATGCCCCATCTGGAAGCGGTTGCTATGTCGGAACAAGGGCCAGGTGTTGACAGATCCAAAAATTTCAAGACAAGCCAGAAATGATTTAGATAAATCTCCATTTTTTATGGGTCAACAACTAATTAGGGGGGAAAAAAAGACAAAGGAAAGAAAAAACCACTATGGAGTGTAAACAAAAATAAAACACATTTATACGGCTGAGCTGACCACCAGTTTACAACCTTGGGTTTAGATTTACAGGAAAACATAGTACAGCACTTTATCCTGTGAAACTATTCAAGGCTCACCATGTCCTGGTCAAAATGGAACAGCAAAATACCAGTGTTCCAATGGACCTTGGGGCTTCCCAGGTGGCACTAGTGGTAAAGAAGACAGCTGCCAACTCCAGAGATGCAAAAGACGTGGGTTCGATCCTTGGGTCGGGATGATCCCCTGGAAGAGGAAATGGCACCCCACTCTGGTATTCTTGCCTGAAATATCCCATGGACAGAGGAGCCTGGCTGGCTACAGTCCAGGGAGCTTCAACGAGTCAGACACGACTGAGTGTCTGAGCACAATGGATGTCATGGATTGTCTAGTTCAACCCCTTCAGTTAATAGATAAAGGTTGTCAAATGTAAGGGACAGACGCTGGGGTGAGGACGCCAGGTCCTGACTCCAGGTCATCTTTCCACTAGAATTCTTCTTCAAGCCTCCTTCAGATGACTGCAACAGAGGCCAGCAAGCTCAACCATCTCCACCTACTTGGTTACAGACAGTGAAGAGGAAGAGATGCCATCCTTCCCTGACTCCTGGCATGGCAGATAAGAAATGATGGAGGGCTTTTTTTTCCATAATGTGCCCATATTATGTTCAATCTCCACTCCCTGCAAGGGAGAGTATTGCCAACTGGAGAACTGTTCACTGCACAGGGAGGCAGATGTGGGAGCCAGGAGAGGTTGACAACAGATGTTGAAATAATTGGTATTCAAAACACATTTGTAGAGATGCTGTGATAGGACTTCCTAGAGGTCCAGTGGTTGAAGACTCCATGCTTCCAAGGCAGGGGACACAGGTTCAATCCCTGGTCAGGGAACTAGGATCCCACATGCCATGCGGCACAGACAAAAGATATCCAAATTTTTTTTTTTAATTTATTTATTTATTTATTTATTTTTATCACAACTATAGTGTATCTTTTTTTTTTTTTTTACATGTATTCCCCATCCCGGTCCCAAATTTTTTTTAATTAAAAAAAAAGATGTTGTGATGTTTGTGATCCTTGGTACCTTGGGGTTCATCAGGGAGGGGCTTCGAATGCTCCTTATTACCTATCATGTAGCATTGCCATAGCTCACCAGAGGTATTGTTCAGTGAGGAACATTTTCCCACTGATTTATTCTATTTTATTGAAGATACTGTTGCTAAAACAGCTTAGTAGAACTCTTACATAATATTTCCATAAAACATCGGGTACAACTTGGAACAAGCTGTTGAGAAATACAAATTCAATTACCATTCTCATCAACCCCCAAATGTTAGCAAATTTTGAAGAGTTAACCTGATTTTCCACTAAGTCTTGTGCAATGTACATCTTTCTAATGTATCCTAAATCTTCTTTTCCAGAATGTTCTATCTCTTCCCACACAGTATGATCTATAACCTGTTTTGCTCCTAAATATGCAAGCTTCTTGCAGCATTTTGTCTTTTTTGTTTGTTTCTCATGAGAACAGCTGGCTGGCCAGTTGCAACTCAGTGGACAAAAGTTTATTTCCCTCAGGAGTCTGAGTGGTAGGCATAGCATCATGTATTGCACAAATATTTTTTTAAAAATTTAAAGCCTTCAGTGAATTTGTTGCAATATTGCATCTGTTGTTTATGTTTTGGTTTCTTGGTACAAAGGCATGTGGGATCTTAGCTCCCAGACCAGGGATTGAACCCACAGCCCTTGCATTGGAAGGTGCAGTCTTAACCACTGAACTGCCAGGGAAAGTCCCTAAATATTAGTATCAGCTCTCCTGCTCTAAGACCTGTTTCCTCTTGAGATGATGATGAGAAGGATAGCAGCCTAGCTATCGGGAGGGACCAGCAGATACCCAGGCTGAAAGACCATTATCCTTACATTTATCCCAAATTCATCTTGGGCTTCTCCATTCGTCGGCTTTGTTTGACCCCCTCCTATTTCTCTTGAAGGTTTAATTAAGTTTAACCATATTCTATTAACCGTTCCAGTTTCACCGGACAATTGTATGTAAATCTATTCTCTTAAAAAAGATGTCGATATAATTTTTTTTGCACGCAACTTTTTTACTAAAGCACAACATTCCATTATACCTTGCCTGAACTTGAGGAAGTCCATTGTGTAAGTTGAGCATTAATACAGTAAAGGATTAAATACAAACAATACAGAGTCATGGATTGACTAGTGAGGCTACTTCATGATTTGTAAAGGGATGGGTTAATGCTAATTGCCATTCAGTTTGAAATTTTTCAGCTTGAGGAGGAAAACAAAATAATCGGGACTCTTCCTTCCTCTGGGGATGAAAACATTTTCCTAAACCAATGTGTTACGAGGCCAAAGCTTCTTTTCTTTTACTCCCACTAATTAGAACATCATCCCTTGATTGTGAAGTCTGTGCTGACTTTCAATGCTGGCAGAATAAGGGGAGGAGAATCACACAGCCAAGAAGACTACTGACTTGCATCTTGTTTTGTTGTTGCATGTTTGTTTCTCGCTCATTGTTTGAGAGTGGGTCAAACTGCAATGATACAGTTCTAATTTTTTCCCATCAAAAAAAAAGAGTGGAGAGAATTCCCTGGTGGTCCAATGGTTGAGACTCCACACTTCCACTGCAGGGGGGCACAGGTTTGATGTCTGGTCAGGGAATTAAGATCCCGTATGGTGCATGGCCTGGTCAAAAGAACTTTTTTTTATTTAAAAAAACAAAAAGAGTAGCTCCCTTCTCCTCTACCTGAGGCTTCTGTCTAATAAGTGCCACTGGCGACAGGTCCCTTTGTCCACAAACACACAGGATACAGAACTTCCTCTGAGACAACTCAGTCCTTTTAACAAAATATTACTTTGTAAATTACACAAACATCTGTTCTAAACAGAACATAACAATGGTTTCAAACAGAGATTTTCCACCAATGGTTAAACAAGCAGAACTCCACTGAATGATTCTGGCAAGATGGCTAGCAAATATGATTGTAAGGGAAAGAAAGAGGACAATATAGGGTAAAGATGAGTTACTGAGTCTGCCCAAAACACATTTATTAGTTTTTCAATGTGGTACAGCAGCAGCATGTTAACTGAGTAAACCATTCAAATTATTTAAGTTTAGTGGAAGATTGAAAATGCTCCAAAACCATGCAATGAGTAATATGGTCATTTATTTGACTTTTTAAAAAAGTAAAAGAAATGAGCCATCAAGCCATGAAAAGATATGGAGAAAACTGAAGTGCCTATTAGTAAATGTGTGCATGCGTGCAAAGTCACTTCAGTCATGTCTGACTCTTTGCAACCCCGTGGACTGTATGTAGCCCGCCAGGCTCCTCTGTCCATGCAATTCTCCAGGCAAGAATACTAGAGTGGGTTGCCATGCCCTCCTCCAGGGGATATTTCTGACCCAGGGATCAACTTCTAGGGCAGTAAAACCACTCTGTATGATACTATAATGATGGATGCATTTCATTGCACACTTGTCTAAAACATTGCAAATTTGTCTAAACCCACAGGATGCAGAGGAGCAAGAGGGAACCCTAACGTAAACCATGGACTTTGGATGATAATGATGTCAATGTAGCTTCATCAGTTGCGACAGGTGTACCTCCCTAGTTGGGGATGTTGATTCTAAGGGGGGCTGTGCATGTGTGGGGCAGGGGGCATGTGGGAACTCTCTGTAGTTTCCACTTAATTTTACTGTAAACCTAAAACTGCTCTAAAAATTAGTCTACTAAACAAAAATAAAGGTTTTGACTTATGAATTGATGAGATAAAAGCTCTGTTGTTTTTCAGTCGCTAAGTTGTGTCCAACTCTGTGATGCCATGGACTGCAGCATGCCAGGCTTCCCTGTCCTTCACTATCTCCCAGAAAAAGAAAAGTGAACATTGCTCACTTGTGTCTGACTCTTTGCGATGCCATGGAGTATAGTCCATGGAATTCTCCAGGCCAGAATACTGGAGTGGGTAGCCTTTCCTTTCTCCAGGGGATCTTCCCAACCCAGGGATTGAACACAGGTCTCCCACATTGCAGGCAGATTCTTTACCAGCTGAGTCACAAGGGAAGCCCAAGAATACTGGAGTGGGTAGCCTATCCTTTCTCCAGTGGATCTTCCCAACCCAGTAATCAAACCAGGGTCTCCTGCATTGTAGGAAGATTCTTTACCAACTGAGATAGTTTGCTCAAATTCATGTCCACTGAGTCAGTGATGCCATCCAACCATGTCATCCTCCATTGATCCTTTCTCCTCCTGCCCTCAATCTTTCCCAGCATCAGGGTCTTTTCCAATGAGTTGGCTCTTTGCATCTGACAGAACATGGTTCACT